CGAGGAAGACGGTGTCTTCGCGGGGAGGGCAGGAATGGGGCGCTCGTGAACGGCTGGCAGCGGAGTGCTGTGCGTGCGAGGGATTTGAATACGCAGTCTTGATCGGCCCTTTTCAGCTTGAGTTGACATTGCTGCCTCACCCGGATTCCGCTCTGGATTCGGGTGTGGCATAGCTGGAGGCACGGTCGTGGTCAGCGAAGCTAAGTCGGATTGGGAGCAAGACGATGTAGCAGTCGAATGAGATGCCATGTTTCAAGGAGGATCGGTGAGGGGACGTGGAAGGAAGGAGGCAGAAGACTCCTGCGGCCTCAAGTACTAGCCGAGCAGTCATCGCGTTTGGTGGCAGAAGAAGATAGATGATTTGATGGGTCTCGGAGGTTGCCTGATGAAACTTCCCAATATGGAAGACTGAGCGAGGTAAACATCTGAATACCTCATGAGTCTCACACATCCCGGACCATATCAAAGACAGAACTGTCGCTGCCCTAGGATTTCCCGGATTCACGTCAGACAGGATCGCTCAAGCGTCAGCCTCGGATGGTGAGCAGATTTTCGTGGCAATGCGGCAGGCAATCAGACAGACCATCTCAGTTCCAGAGACTCATCAGCACACCGAGCTCTCGTCTCCCTTGTGGTGTCTATCTGACAAACACTCGCTCCAGTCTCTGAAACTAACGTCAATTCGTCGGTCTCGCACGCGAATCACGGTGTCCGTCTACCGATCAGTACACTCTCGTAGAGCGGCACCATATGCTTGACCGTGTCGTGCGTCTGGGTCAGTCAGTGGAGATGCAGATACATTTGGAAGGCCGGGGGTATCGCCGATATCCGGCAATGCGCACGGGTCATTGATTGATCCCTGGGTCTCTACAAGTTCTATGGAAGGAGACCGTCGCAGTCAGCGGCCGCCGGGTTTTACATACATTCGCACAGACAATACTGATAGAGAGCGACTGCGTTGACTATACGTCGCAGACCGGGAGATCAGAGCAAGGATCTCACACGTACGGTCGATGAAGCTCTATGAATTCGCTATGAAGCCCTAAGCCAGTGTCGGTAACTATCCTACGAGTTAGGGAGTGATAGAATGGAGTAGGAGTCTCTATCAGTGAGGTCAATTCCAGGGAGTTGAGTTGAACAAAATGATCGTCGCCCTCTCTTTCCTCACAAGGAAGCAGGTTAAGCCTGGAGGAACGGATGTCCTGGGAGACTATCGAGTGCTTCAATTGAAACAGACGCATGAGCATCGCATGGGGAACGAGATGTGAGAGCACCAGTCAAGCGTGTGAATGCCAGATGCCCTTCTCGATCACGCCCTTCTCGATGCCCCCCCGAGCCTTGCGTTTGGATTCGACCTTGCCTAGTGCTCGAATCCCGAGAACAGAAGTCTAACTGAGCGTGAGATTGCGAAATCATTCTGGGGCTTGAATCAGCTCTTGAATCAGGCATGTAAAGCAGGTGGCGAGCACATTTTCATTCTTCATTCGATACATACTCGATCTCTCACGGAAACACTCGGCAGCCTGATGTGCCTCGACAAGCCAAGATCTTCAGAACATATTCAAGCTAGAGAACGGGCATCGCAGAGGTGTTGATCCTTCCATCTGACCTCATGGATTGCCTCTACATCAGATGCATCTACTTGCATTGCAGCGCGACTGTGCCGTTTTTCAGACACCTGGGGAGCCGCAGTGGAAACTTGAATATCATCCTTATGAACATGCAAAAAGTGCTACACAATGAGCAGAGCGCTTATATAAGCCCTGTCTGCTCAGAGCAGAGGTGTCCCCGGGTTCCGGCCGGTGGATGTTGCGCCGCGACAGGGTTTCCCCGACCGCAGGTGGACCAGCAGCACCCTTCTAAGCGGTGGGCGACGTGGCCGTGGTGACGCTTTACGATGGTGGGACCTGTGCGGGAGACATGGGTGGTGCTAGGCCCACCGCTGCCACCGCATCAGCATCGGCAGCCAACGGTCACGTTCCGCAAAAGCTTGCATCGTGAAAAGAGTCTCGACTGATAGGTCAGAGCGGCCCTTCACTATGGCGATTGGGACGACGTGCTGTGGGCGCGCTGACAAGCGAGGTACGGCTAGATCGTGACACGCGGCGGGGCCTGAGGTGTTCGTCGATGTCGCTCATGGAGGGGATCGACGCTGATTCCTGATTCCGATTTTGACAGCTGAGATGGAGGAAACCAGTTCGCGGATCCGCCTGCATCGTGATCGATCGAATGCAGGGCGCATCACATCTCTCAGAACGCTTGCTCATCGGTAAATGCAGTCCTCGCTCGACGGGAACAGTAATCTAACGACCACATCCTGTCAGTCAGATGCAATGAAGCAGAAACAAGACGAGATGCACGTACGCAGGCTTCTTGCCCATCTTCCACTGCCCGCTTGGCCTGGGGTGGCTAGACCGGAGCTTTCGACCCAATGCAGAGCAGCGCCAGCTCCTGGTTCTGCGCCTCGACAGTCGGATAACGGGTCATGAGCACACACCGGGCCGTCGTCGAGTCCGAACCCTAGTGTGGACGGATCGGGCGTAGCCGGCACGTCGAGCAATGCCCCTCCCTGGACGTCATGTATTGCGAACATGATCAAGAATAGTCCATCTCGACTGCAGGTTCGCGTTCGCCACGCCGTTTTCGCCTTTGGGCTCGATGTTTGTGATACGAGTCTCGAGCGACGCCAAGAGCGTCTTGCCCTCCGTGTCGGTTTCGGAGATCTGCGGGACAGGTTTTCCAATCCCAGGGTAGTCGGATTGCCAGGCGGCGGCAGGAGCGTAGTCCGCTTTGGGGCAGTCCATCTGGGGTGAGTGACGCATCGTCCAAAGGAGACATGAGACGTAGCTCACCAGCACCAGCCAAGCCCGGCTGAGAGAGTAGAAGGAAGCAGAAGAGATGATGAGAGTGGGGCATAAGATGTGTTGCTTGAGGTCCGTATTCTGAACAACTGGCTTGTGAAGATTGAGAAAGGGTGTGTCCCACTGTCACCGCAGAAACCTGGAGGAAGGGCGAATATGGCACACGTCAAGCACGCACGAAGGCCTCATCGCCGCAGCAAGATGCCCATGAAAGTCCGGTTCTTTGGCGTGGACACCACGCATGTGGAACGGGCGGGTCGACATCTCGCAATGGACATCCCGATGTGTCTCCGGCGTTGATATCACATTCGAGGATTTCCTAGTTGACATCATGGAGCGCAGCGAAGCCGAATGTCACAAATTAGTAAGTGGCAGTCACGCTAACGTGTCTTTTGCGCCCGATGCCAATGTCCCGATACGTGATCCGGTCACCCATGTGCGGTGCGCCTCATTGCAGAGGTTTCATACGCTCAACAATCGACGAATTCAAGAGCTAAATGAGCGTATTTTATCAGGAGAATTTTCCATGGAAGATGATTGCGGATTTCATTAAAAGTGTTGAGAATTACTTAGGAGGTCTAGTTAGGTATCGTACAGTAGGACAGCTTCATCGTCTGGTTGGGAATTCATCATCAATATCCGTATCCTCCCGGATATCCGGGTCCTGGCCCGTTCCCCGGTGGGTTTGAGTGAGCGTTCCACTCCTCCTGGCCAGCTGCATACCCGTATCGAGCATCTGGACCCGCAAAGAATGGCATGGGCACAAGCTGCGCCGGGCCCGCTGCCTGTGTGTTCGAGTTGTAATATCCACCCGCCATTGAATACTGCGTTGCCTGAAAATGGGGAGCGTGCCCGGCGTAGGCAGTGGGCATCGGATATGACTGCGCCTGCGGCTGACCGGCGCCAGAGCCGAGGGATAAATTTGGGTACTGTCCATCCGCGTATCGAGGCCTAGGATGGCCGGTCGGAGGCGGGCCAGTGTTCGGGAGCGCACTTGTTCCGGTGTTGCGCGATGGCGAGGAGGAAGGTAATGTTGCGGATGGATTATATGGGGATGAACGAGCGGCGCTCCTGACATATTGACATCGTAAACCCTTGCGAACGCAGCGCTCGCAAGGACTGTTGGTGGTTTGGAGATTTGCCGGTGGGATGCACTGGGGAAAATCGGATCAGTGACATATCGATTCGACTATGGAAGGGTGTGGTTACTTTGGTCTTGCGCTCCCGGCAGTTGGTGCAGGCCATGAGAGAGGAAGAGGATGTGTCCAGGTAAGCAGTCGTCATCGTCGTCGAAAGTAATTGAGCAGTGGGCTGTTATGCCTCTCTGGAAGGACATTCATTTATAACGGAGTTATCGAGTCTGTGCTGCGAGTCATCATGGTCATCCCGTGGATACGCGCTAAACTATCTCAGTATTGCACAAGATGAGTCAGACTTACAAAAGCGGCGTACTCTAATGTGCTGTCAGAGATATTTCGGAGAGAGAAGCTCCATCTGAGCTCACAGCCAGAAAGACTGAGTGCATAGTGAATGCACTGTCATCAGCGCGCGTATGAATATCCTGTCTTCACAGCCCCGCCCCGCCCATTCCAGCGCTCAGCGCTGATTTTCCATCGGCCTCGGGCGCATCTTGAGGCCGGGGACACGGAGAGCTTCGGTATATAACTGCCATCGTTCGACCGGGATACCGTTGTGCCGAGAAACAGATGGCCTTGGAATTACACGTGCCCCAATAATGGATCACGTGTGAATTTGCGTCTCATTCCACGCGTTGATCCGCTAACTGAACTTACGACAGAATGGCCCCCACCAGGATTTCAGGAGGCTATCATTCCTTTTCCACCGTACTGTCTCTCTAGGAAATTTCTCTCCCAGACGGTCATACTGATTAAAACTTTGCATATTGAGTACGCGCGATGGTGCTGGTTACTGTTTCCGTGATCCGTCGGCCATCGTCCCGCGACCAAGTGGATTCCACCCTGACGGAACAAGCTGCGAAACGAAACAATCTTGCAATGTACAGCCCAATGTCAGAAGCAACGCCGACGGAACTTGTTGCAGTCCACGATTGCACTCGGTGGAGAGTCGACACTCGATAAATCGGCCTGGTATTTATATGCTTGCACCGAGCAGGAGAATCTAAAAACCCCATCCTCCCCTCATTCGTTCACTTTCATGGACTACCACCGCTCACAGGCCAGGATCTCTGCCGATCAGCAGCAGTTCACGTCGAATATCCAGCGGAGTCTAATAGCATGCAATAATTGCCGCCAGAGCAAGACCAGAGTTCGTTTGCACGTTTTACTGGGTCTGCAAAGATTTTAATCTCTTCATAGTGCAATCCTCCGTCAGATGGTAAAAAGCAGGGGCCTTGCGAGCGCTGTGCCCGGAAAGCGCTTCGATGCCAGTTTGTGGAGGACAGATCCCACAAGGCTGATCCTCAACACGCCAGTGCCCAAGGCTGGGAGCCCACTCAGCAAGGATATTCTCAGGCTCCTCATTCTCCTCCTATCCCGCAGGCGGGATTTACCAGGAATCTCCTGGTCATTCCAGAACACGTGCCTGATCTTCCCTACACCGGGCCACCACCGGCGAGCGGCCACCCACGCTACGCTGATGGCCGTTACCCGAATCTCGGACTGGAAACGAGTCCGGACCTCAACATATCGACGAACTCAGCTCCACATTCATCGTTCGATGATCCCGCCCCAAGTCTCCAACAACAGATTTCACAACTGGGTTGGGATCAGCATTACTCTGGGCAGTATCCGATCAGTCAGTCCACATATGCGACTGCATCCCAGCCCAATGACTGGGGTACTTATCCTACTCACAATGGGCCCGGGTACAGTCACTGAGCGAAGGAATGATTTCCTGCTTTCGTGCCGATTTCATTCCTGTAGAGAATCAGGCATTCTCGATAATTACCGATCAAATACCAATCTGGGATGAGTTCGTGCTAGCGAAAGCTTGGAATGTTGTAATAATATTGAATCAGTAATTATTATTGAGGGAAGTGATCGGACTCCATCGGATGGAGCGTATAATTAGTACTCGAAGATTTCAGAGAGAAACAGCCTGACTGAAAAACTCATGAAAAACCAATGCGGTCTCAAGACCAACTTGAGTGTGAAATCAATTTTTTCTACGCAGGGGATGCCTGGGCGCTTGTCTTCATGTCATGAACTCTGACACATTTTCCGGTAAAGCGGAATGATTGCTCAAGTGGCGATCGCCGACGGTGGCTGTCCAAGAAGGACGAGATGAATAAGAAACGAAGATGAATGGCCTTGCTTGATGAAAGGTCGTATAAACTGTAACCTGGTCCAGAAAAGCATTTGAGAGGAAGCCGAAAGGAGCATTAATCTGGGTGTCACGTGAAGGTCCCACGCGCAGGCACGTGGTGCTATGTTGAATTTTTGACTGAAACCACAAAAATGGACGAAATTGTGCAATTGATTCTGAGATTATATATAGCATAGACAACCCGTTAATTTACAATAGATAGAGTGCGTCGCATATACATGATGGACGGTTCAGGCAGCGAGAGACGTGATCGAAGCCGGAAGCGCGTTGTAGATGGGACACAGCTGGTTCCACTCGGAGGTCGGGATCAGCTCCGACTGCCAGTCGGGCACGTCCTCCGCGAACACGATCGCGAAACCGGCTTCCAGATGCCAGTCGATGTGGCAGTGGAGGAACCACGCTGCATAAAAACAATCATCAGCTCGACTGATCGAATATCAAGAACCCAGGGCGGGACGGGAAAACGGAGACTGACGTCCTCGGTTGTCCGTGAAGAAGCGGATGGTGACATTGTCGCCGGCGTTGCCGATGTTAACGACGTCGCGGCGGGCGGGGTTGACGTAGTTGTAGGTGCTGCTTCCGGCGGAGCGGATGACATCGAACGCGTGTCCGTGCAAGTGGAAGGGGTGCTAGGGAGCCCGTCGTCAGCTTCCGCGCTGGGACACACAGAGAAACACAGAGAGAGAACTGACGCCACCACCAACAACGCCTCCTGCGAGCGTGATTTCGACCGACGCAAAGTGCGGCAGGGTGTACACCGAGCCGTTGGGGAGCAGCGACTGTGCGTTCTGTGCGCCGGACAGGATCTGGAGCAGCACGGGCACGGTGGGTGGCACAAAGGATGCGCCGTTGATCGTGAACTTGAACGTCGTCTGGCAGGCGTGATCAGCAGTCGAGCGCACACCCTGCAACGTCGCTGGAGCGCACCAAATCAAACGCCAAAGCCAGATTGATCTGGACGTCGGCACCACCGATGAAAGCACCGCCGGGAGCACCAGGATTCACGAGAGGGTGGAGGTTGACCTCGTTGACGAGCCCGTTGACTGAGGTGTCCTGCGAGGTCGTGGGCTCGGAAGAGTTCGCTCCTTCGTCTGGAAAAATCGTGCTTGCTCAGAACGGAACCACGGAGATCGCTCGTGGAAGGCTGACTTACAGCGGAGAATCGCAGAGTTGATGCCCCCGGTGAAACCAGCGGGACCGGTGTTCGGGGCGGCGCGAATCCAGTAGTTGTCGACAGCTTGGTTGGCAGTCAGGATGAACGAATACCGCTGGGCTGGAAAAAAAGAGTCAGTTACAGCCGTTCGAAACGCAAGAGCGAAGTCGAGCTCACCTGCGTAGATCTGGATCGAGTCAACGCTCAGCGGCTGGTGGAGGATCCCGTCCGCCTCGATAATGGTCAAATTGGTGTGACCGTCGATTTGGAAAACGTAGTTGGAGTCGCAGGCGGTGTTGACCAGACGGAAACGGTAACGCAAGCCTTGCTTGACGTTGACCACCGCGAGGGTCGTGTTCGTGAGCGTCGCCGCGGTCCGTCCAAGACCGTTGATGAGCATGGAGGATGGTACACTGTAGTTTGGGCACATCAGAGCTCGATCCCGAAGCTGCGCACGTCCAAGCACTGACCCGACACCCGCCACGGTTTCAGCAAAGACGTTGTACCAGTCGGACAGGGTTATCACCGTCGATTCGTCGTCGACATCGTACTCCGAGAGGTATGCGTCCGCCGGATCGTAGATGACCATCGCGCCGCGCAGACCATCGCAGTACTGGGTAGCGAGGTGAGAGTGATACCAGAATGTTCTGGTTGATCGGATTCAGACGAAGTTCGAGCATAAACGACACGGAGTTCACACACCCAGCTTGTTGAGACGTAAAATCGTAGGTGAACGAGTTTCCAGGTGAAATCGGACACTGATTGACGAACGCAGGCCCGTCCATGTAGTTCGTCCCATTCTGGAACAACCCGTGCCAGTGCTGCAAGTTGCAGCGAGTCAGCGATCCGATCGAAGAAGGACGTAGATTCAGCGTACAATGGACGTCGGCTCTAGCATGCGGTTGTCCTGCTGCTGATCGACGACGGTGAGCTGAAAGTTGTCGCCGATCTTTCCGGTGACGAGCGGGCCAGGGAACGTGCCGCCGGCGAGAACGGCGGCTCGGGGGACACCATCGGGAGAGATTGTTTTGTTGGCCACGACGAATGAACCAACAGGCCCAATCGTGACAGCGGAGGCGATTCTGGCTGCCGCAGCGAGAGAGATCATCGTTCGGGAGGAGAACATCGCAGCAAAGGTGATCGAAAGCCAAATAGATCCTGAGACCGGTTTTATGTCTCTCTAAGCAGTCAGAGGACTGCATTTATAGAGTTTCGACGGAGAGAGACCATCAATGACATTCTTCCACACGGTTGATCGATAGGGCAATACACGCGCTCTTGTCAGTCAAAGTTCGGATTTGACACCCGGATTCGGCTGGTTGGTTGGATTGCGATGACTGAGCGCAGTGCCGTACAGAGCCAGGAACTCGAAGACTGCCCAAGGGAGAGATTTCAGCCACGCAACAAAGTTATGATGCGATTTCATCGCTCTGAGACATTGCGAGGAGCGCGAGCAAAAAACGCTTGCAGAGCAGCTAGAACTGAGCTCTCTCGGCCACAGAGATCGTTCAACGGAGATCTCGTTCCTTCTCTCTCAGCACTGGGCAGAAGCCTGGTCGCACAGACTGCGAAAACGCTGGTCACAGATCGGGAAAGGGAAAACTTCCGCCGAAATCCCTTACGTCGTTGGTACTGACGAAATGACAGCGGAAAAAGAGCGCGACCTGATGATAGCCGCATCTGAGGTCTTCGACCTGTATCTTGCAATTTGATCGAGGGTAAACGTGGAGCACAGCAGAAGACACGGATGGTCACCAGTCAATGCAGAGGTGTGTCTGCTCTTCATAATCATGAATGATGCTCAGCAGTGAGCCCGCGGCGTAACAAAGCATTGCGTCCAGTCTCCTCTGATCCGTCCAATCTCGCAATCTCGAAGTCACCGGAAAATCTATCGGGTCCGAAACCAACGACGGAAACCGTCGAAGTCTGGGAGTAGTAGTGCACATGTCCTGAATCAGCTTCTGTTGTGAATCGATGTAATGAGCTGATTCAGCTGACTCCACTGGGGTTGCTGGTAGAAACCCGACTGTCGGCACCGCCTCGATCCGATTGTTCGCAATAGGCCGGCACCCACCGGCTCTGTCCATCAAATATCAGATCGGATTGACGACAGAGATGGCACTTAGTCAAAGCTCGTTATTGCTCGGGGGCCGGCGGCTATCGGCGACAGAAACATGACCGAGGCTGCTCTCTTTTGATTTTCTGCGTCATCTTGAGATGCAGGTGTGAGATCCCTGCGTCGAAGATTGCCAAGCGGAGGGTCTCAAATTCAAAATCACTCGGTGAAAATTCCAGGGCTATGAAATGAAGAGCCTTCGATGCCCCAAATCTTCGCGGAAAGAATGCTTCTCAAGCACACCACAGCATTTGAGGGCACCAAAAGAGTGTGTGGCGGGCGTTTTCGGCGAGACACCGCCTCTCTTCGGCGCGGGTAAATGGAAGTCTTTGAGAGGCGGCTTCATGACATGCATCGCTGTCGAGCTTATTCTTTGCCAGAAGGGGAACAGCCGGCTACTCACCGCGGCGGTGCCCTGTCTGCCTCGGTCCCGCAACACCGCTCAGTCTGATTTCAGGATCGAAGCGGTGGTGGACCTGGAGAGGAGAGCTGCGAAATTCCAGTGAAGAACTGCCAGATCCCAGTCAAGGGGTCATGTCCGTTCAGTGGGGTTGAAAACACAGCTCCTCTCAGGCCAATGACTGAGGCTGGGAACAGGGCTTGAGGTTGATGAACAGCGGACCAGGTGTGACCGACGCTTCGAGTAAAATGTGCACGTGATGCGAAATGGCGTGGCTATATTGTATTTCGGATCATGTCCCATCAACGAGGTACGACGAAATTAGTGACTACTAGGCAACGTCAGGACCCCGGATAATACAGTCAAATGTGAGCCACCACATTTACCAATTCTGAGGGTCATTAGGCGAAACACTTAGCCCAAAGTAGTAGGGGGTTGGGGGAAAATTGGGCGGCACAGTTGATGTACTTGGATCGTGGTTGAACAAGCCGAGGAATGCCGGCCTATTGCGAACAATCGGATCGAGGCGGTGCCGACAGTCGGGTTTCTACCAGCAACCCCAGTGGAGTCAGCTGAATCAGCTCATTACATCGATTCACAACAGAAGCTGATTCAGGACATGTGCACTACTACTCCCAGACTTCGACGGTTTCCGTCGTTGGTTTCGGACCCGATAGATTTTCCGGTGACTTCGAGATTGCGAGATTGGACGGATCAGAGGAGACTGGACGCAATGCTTTGTTACGCCGCGGGCTCACTGCTGAGCATCATTCATGATTATGAAGAGCAGACACACCTCTGCATTGACTGGTGACCATCCGTGTCTTCTGCTGTGCTCCACGTTTACCCTCGATCAAATTGCAAGATACAGGTCGAAGACCTCAGATGCGGCTATCATCAGGTCGCGCTCTTTTTCCGCTGTCATTTCGTCAGTACCAACGACGTAAGGGATTTCGGCGGAAGTTTTCCCTTTCCCGATCTGTGACCAGCGTTTTCGCAGTCTGTGCGACCAGGCTTCTGCCCAGTGCTGAGAGAGAAGGAACGAGATCTCCGTTGAACGATCTCTGTGGCCGAGAGAGCTCAGTTCTAGCTGCTCTGCAAGCGTTTTTTGCTCGCGCTCCTCGCAATGTCTCAGAGCGATGAAATCGCATCATAACTTTGTTGCGTGGCTGAAATCTCTCCCTTGGGCAGTCTTCGAGTTCCTGGCTCTGTACGGCACTGCGCTCAGTCATCGCAATCCAACCAACCAGCCGAATCCGGGTGTCAAATCCGAACTTTGACTGACAAGAGCGCGTGTATTGCCCTATCGATCAACCGTGTGGAAGAATGTCATTGATGGTCTCTCTCCGTCGAAACTCTATAAATGCAGTCCTCTGACTGCTTAGAGAGACATAAAACCGGTCTCAGGATCTATTTGGCTTTCGATCACCTTTGCTGCGATGTTCTCCTCCCGAACGATGATCTCTCTCGCTGCGGCAGCCAGAATCGCCTCCGCTGTCACGATTGGGCCTGTTGGTTCATTCGTCGTGGCCAACAAAACAATCTCTCCCGATGGTGTCCCCCGAGCCGCCGTTCTCGCCGGCGGCACGTTCCCTGGCCCGCTCGTCCACCTCAGTTACCACCGCCATCACCCGGTTGCACCCCCGCGGGGGTCCTCCTGGGTACCCTCAGACGTAGCTCTGAGGGTACCTAAAAGGTACCCCCCTGCGGGGCCCGCGGGGGGGATTTGGTCCATTTGGGGGCGGGGGCATATGCGGGGGTCAGCAGGGGGGGGTGAACGAAAATATATACATGTGACTTGTCTACATCTGTAAGAGCGGGTAGCTGGGCGGGAAAAAAAAATCAATCACGTGGAAGCACCGAGCGGGCGGGATGGCGGGCGAAAAAAGCACGTGACAGATGGAACCAAAAATTTTAAAACGCTGGCGGGGGCTGGCGGGGGTGCGGGCGGGGTCATTACCGACCTCCCGCATGCCACGGCGGGTGGCGGGCGCATATTCACGTGACTTCATCCCGGCCATTTTGCCACCATTTGGTCGGGTTTTTGCATGCTCTCCACGATGGCGCACAATGCAGCGGATGGCGGCCAAAACGGTCACGTGACTGGGCGCAAAAAAAAACCAAATGGCTGCCGGAAAAAATTCCGATGCTATCCCAATTGTGTCTAGCTTCGATAATTAAGAAAGTGAAGCGCTGAGCGCAAAATGCCCGCCGCACTGCGGTAATGATGGGAATGTTCCCATCATTTTGCGGGGTCACCCGTGCGGTTGATCAGTTCCATGTTTAACCACCACTCATGCTACGGTGATGCCGCCTTCTTTGACAAATCACTCATGTATTTTCTCATGAAGGTCCTCCTTGGCTCTTTATCCCAGGATGCCCCCCAAACAGCCACCACCAAGAAAGCAGACAGTAAGACTTTCAGGGCAAAGCCTTCGACCCACCAGTCCAGTAAAGGGACGGCACAAGCTCCGAAACGTGCTGACAATCCCCATGGGCCGTAACGCTCGTGCAAATCGTCTTGCTCAAAAGATGAATTCCCTGCTTGACCCAGAGCCACCAGAATTGGTGGCACAGGCCTCTGAACTCGGGAAAGAGCAAAATACAATGCTTGAAGATCAAATGGAAGTGGATGAAACCAATATGACGGGCGAAGATGTGTGGGAAGACATGGCGTCAGGTGCAGGGGCTGCCGCGGGGCCCGCCGCGGGGTCTGCTGCGGGGCCCGCCGCGGGGTCTGCCGCGGGGTTGGGTGTGGGGGCTGGACTGCCGCCATACATTCCAGAGATTCTTGCAAGGCCCCATGGTCTTCAAAGGAAACCACGTGCTACACAAGCCTCTTCTGTCTGGATCCATCTCATTCCTGACCTTGCCCTCTCTCTCCTGGCATTTCGGAAATCATCTTTTGCATGCCCACCCACATCTCTTGCTGCAACCATCTATCAAAACTGTGACAACCCTTCCTGTACCCAAAATAAAATTCGGGTTCTATGTCTCCACATTGCACGTATGTTTCGAATTTCTTCTTGCCAGATCTTGTCTGACAAATTACCAGATTTTCAACATATCGATGTGCAAGCATGTTCTTGTGTTTCACCTGCCACTGTCCTACTGGAACATGGTGCTCTCGCCACCTCACCTAGCAAGCCACAGATTGCTGTTGCAGTGAATACATTGGAAATATACCAAGCGTTATTTGAACGCTCCTGCATTGCGATTCAAGCATTCACCAATGCCCTGACAACCCTCTATAACACCAGAGGATTCGAGCTCATGTCCAAGACCGTAAGTTGCTTCTTTCCACCTGCTTTTCGCAATAAACATCTGATATACACCCTAGTTTGATGGCGAACATGCTACTGATCCTCTACGACAAGCCCTCTCCCAGGCTGTGCATGTTTACAGCAGCATCCAGCGGCATATCCGAAAAATGGTCAATGATGCCTTGGCCATGGAATATAGTCAAATCAACACCAGATTATCTTCCACGGATTCCATAGCTTCCATCTACAAAAGTTCCCCCGAACATGCGGAGTCATCTCCATCAGTCTCGATGACAGGACCTTGCCAGGCGTCCATGTCAGATGCACCCCCCGCTGCACCCCCTGCTGGGCATCCCGTGGCACCCCCCGCCGCACCCCCCGCTGCACCCCCCGCTGCACCCCCCGCCGCACCCCCCGCTGCACCCCCCGCCGCAACCCCCGCCTCGTTCATCCCTGCCAACCGCACCATTGAATCTGATGACCAGTTTTCACTGATTCCTGGATCTGCAAATAGAGTCCTACAAAGTCGGTGTCCTTCGTGCTTCTCCCTGAAGGAATGGGGCCGTCCACTTGCTATGTTCGATTTTCGTTCAAACCCTGATCAGCAGTGACTGACATGTTTTGCTCAGTGGTGGGGATGTACAGTTTGGTGCTGATGGTTGCTTCAACTATCGCCATCTCCGCGCTGCTGGCAACGGACCGTCTTTGTTCAGTCAGGAGTACTTCTTGACACCTGAAGAGGTTCACAAGGTCAAAGAAACTGTGCTTTTGGCAAGGAAATCTCCGAAGCCCCTAAAAGAGTTTCCAATTTCTGCTGATATTGTGGAGGCCTGTGGAGAGTCATGGACTGCTGCAAATGAGAACAAACAAAAGGGGGACCCAAAGCGCTATGACTCCACTGGCATCTTTGCACTGACATGTCGTCATTCGCAAGTCCTGTTCATGTGTGACATAGACACACCAGGAGAGCAGCAGCACTACATAATTGCGCTCTTGGAGAAGGTGGCTTCACTGCTGCCATCCAATGCGACCATTACACAATGCTATGATATTGGTTGTGTTCTTGACCGGAGTAACAATCTGGTACGTGCATTTCCATTCATGGACTGCTTTCTCCGCCACCATCACATATCTTAACCCGCTGCGACCCCGCGGCGACCCCCGCCGCACCCCCCGCCGCACCCCCTTCTGCACCCCCTCTTGCACCCCCTGCCGCACCCCCGCTACAGAGTCCATAACAATGCTGACTATTTTCTGAAGTTCCCTATCCTTTCTGCCCATCTGCGATCTCGTGTATCATTCTCTCTGAATGTGATGCATGCATTTGGTCATCAATGGGTCTGCCAATTGATTTTCAACCCACGCATGAAGTCGGGTATGGGTCTTACTGATTCAGAAGGTGTAGAAAGACTTTGGTCCAGGATACGAAGGTTAATTCCTCTGACTCGAAATCAATGGGTATCTTCTTTAAATCCTTTTTGAATCGAGGATTCTGAAACATATGCAGGCTGCGCGTCGAATAGCCACCCTGGATGAATTTGTTTCGTTTGTCAATCGTGAAGGCATCACCAGTCTGGGGAGTTGGATTGAACGGCAACGAAATAAGAACATTCCACAGAAATATAATCAAGCAACACGACGGATCAGCACTGCAGGCGTGACCATTGTGGATTTGCGATCTCACTGGCAGGCTCAGCTGACTGCCCAGGTATCACTTCAGTCCAGTATATCATTTCCCATCATAAAAAATTTGCTCTCAACACGGTGTTACAGGCCCACCTGTTCGTGTCCAACGCGAGCTGGGCAAGATAGTCAGCCTTCAAAATCAAATCGAAGATATCGATGACACTCTGGAGCAACTCCAGAAGACCATTGACGATCGACAGAGCTCTAATTCAGCGCACATTGCGATCAAAGATCTACAATGCACTCATAGCAAGCTTAGTGAACAAGCTGTGCATCTGTACACTTCCCTTGACCTGGAGACTCATTACCCAGAACTGGCTGGACTTCCCTTTGAATTTGTTCAAACACTGCTGCTGATGAGGGATCTCAAAATACAGATACGAAAACAAGCGATTGGAACATTCCTAGAATGGGAGAATTTAGACCGTGCTGTCCAAGGACGTCGGGAGCCACTGGGTAAGTTCCTTTCCATGCACCCTGCGCGCACCCCCCGCCCCACCCCCCGCGCGCACCCCCCGCCGCACCCCCCGCCGCACCCCATGCGCACTCGTCACAACACTGACATGTTTCCATATGTAATCTAGGTACAAAGCTTCATCAAGCAGCTCGGAAGGCCCTTTCAAAACGTCAGCCCACGCTGCATCGTCTAATCGACAAGTTCAACTCCTTTTGCTCTCGACTGGAAGAAATTCAGCCCCCACACTGCTCTGTTCCTATCCCTCTCCCACTGCCTACCAAACTGAACGAGCTTAAGTCTCACACCAACCTCTTCGAAGATATATGGATCACTCCCTCCGAGGGGGGTGTTCCATTGTGGCTGTGTGATGAGAATGTCCGGCAGGGAATTTCCAGTCTCCATGTACTTGATCGCTGTCATGAGGAAGACCTCCGCCTGTCCCGAGAGAGTGAAAATATGCTACGCTGGATTGATCAGGAGTCTTTGCTGCTCGCGTCGGCCAAGGAGCGCCACTCGAGTGCGTTGCTGTTTATTCTGTGACAAGTTTCCTGACATTTCTTACACCAGATCATATTCTGCACCATGAGCTTGAACAAGAAGCCAAATTCCTCTCGCGTGTTTCTTCTAGATGGCGTCGTCAGTTGCAAATTCCACAACCTCTGCTTCTGGCCATTGATCCAAGGTTGACCACCCACTCGCAAAATTCTGCCCCTGCGGCACCCCCTGCGGCACCCCCCGCGGCATCCCCCGCGGCACCCCCCGTTTCACCCCCTGCCGCCGCTTTACCCTCTGACCCTGCCGTCAATTTGTCAATGGTTGAACCTGTTGAAGATGATATGAATGAGTCCCCATGGGCTGATTCTGAGAATATATCCCCGGATGAAGTTGAGGCCTGTCCTTCAGACTCCGAAGAGGCCCTTGCTGTAACAGATATGATGGAAACGGATGACGATGAAGACACAGCAACACTCGAGCGTGATCATTGCCATGTCCAAGTTTCCTGGGCTTCCCTTGCAAAAGTATGTGCTATGAATCCATGACAACAAATAATACTGATCGAGAATAGTCTCGATCCACTTGTGATACTCATTTCGTGAGAGATCTCACAGCACACGTCACAAGATTTCCTGTGATACGTGATCTTCAACCCCGTGTTGTTGCTCTCCCTGGAAACCTTCCCACCGTTGTCGTAGATCCCAACGATTTAGCGCTGCTCACGGATTCCACAGCCCGACTGAATGGACACATCCTCAATGGTGTGTCAGCAGCAGTTCTCTCATGGTGCATGCAACCCTTCTCCTTGCATGCACAGTCTGCGCAGAGATGTGCTCTTTTATCGACATATGATCTGCATCGCGTTCGTTTCAATGCTCCCGATAAAGCTATCTGGAAAAGTCTGGCTCCTACA